CACCTGTCTGACCAAATTGGGTGTCCAGACCACCTTTGAATCTGAAATTGTAAAATTAATTGTGATTTCAGAATATTCAGTCCATTTATACTAACAAAATTATATACAGTATACTGTAATTGAAATTTTACAGAATGATAAAGGCAATTTAGTAACTTTGTTAAAATGCACATGGGGGAAATACATGAAAATAGGTTAATATGGTTTGTAAGGTTGATGGGAAATGTTTATTACTTTTATAATTTAAAAGATGTATAGCCCTAATACTCCATCCTGGGTGCATTCCACCAGGTAATGACCACAGCAAAAGTTTTCTACGAGGCTCTATTGTCACACAAACTTTTCACATTTTCAAACTTGATTCATCTTTTTCCCCCTCGTTCCAGGGGTTTTATTTAAAAGGTCTTCATTCAAATGCCTTGGTTTCTCACAAATGATGGCCTCTGAAATGCTATCACCTGCTAACTCTTTGTTGTGTATCCAAATTAATAAAAACTTTTTAACATCCTCAAGTGTTTGTGTTCTTTGTTTCGGGATTGTTGATATGCCTTTTGCCACTTTAATGCTCATAATGTCCTTCTTCTTAGCAAGTATAGTGCATATTGTTGACATAGATTTGTTGTACTGCCTAGCTAGTTCAACAACCTGTGCACCATTTTGATGTTTATGAATGCTCTCTTGTTTTTCCTCTATGGTCATTCTTACATGTGTTTTCTTGGCTTGAACCTTACCACTGGCTTTCTTGGGACTCATGGCAAGATATATCATAACAAATTTTATGTTCAAATAGCCAAAAATCCCAAAACAAATGTAATGCTTTACAAAGAATTCAGGCGCGATACTTACTAGGCAGGAGACACTGGCAAACTGAGGCGCGATCACCATGCCACCACGCGCTAGGTCAGCCCATATGTATATCAACAAACTCCTTTCCCGAGGCAAAGTTTGTAACCCGATTCAAATTTTTTGAAGAAATTAGGCTCGTAACCCGAAAAGTTCATAAATATTCATTCGTAAGCCGAGGTGTCACTATATATAACTAAAAAATTAAACTCAAGATTACTTTCAACCCCCACCCCTTTTGCTCTACTCCATCGCCACCTACCTTCACCCCCCTCTATGATGTACTCTTCCATAGACACCTACTTTTGCCCCCCTCCTCCCCTCTACTCCTCCATCATCACCTACCTTCACACCCCCTCCCTTCTCCTCCTCCATCGTCACCTTCCTTTCACCCTCCTCTATGATGTACTCTTCCATAGACACCTACGTTCACTGCATATAATGCTCCCCTCTACTCCTCCATCGTCACCTACTTTCACCCCCCCTCCGCTCTACTCCAGGGTCGCAGACAATTTCACGAGCGTGAGAACTACGAGTTCTCTAACCACTCTCACACTCCTACTCTCTCACCAGTGAGGGGGAGGGAAGGAGGGAGGAAATGAAGGAAGAAAGGTGGGGGAGAGAGAATAGGCAGGGGGGAGGAGGGCCTAGATACATTTCTTCCATATAGATAGGTAGACTGAGGGAGAGCTGCTTGCCAAGAGCCCTATCAGACAGGCTTCCTATTCCTCAACCCTCCCTAATATGCCACATCCTGGTCAGGACAACTTGCTCGATTGTTATTCTTGGTGTGACTCGAGAACTGACCTCGAGGCGGGGTATGGGCATGGATTATCTCCCTGGGGCACGCACCTCCCTGCCCCAGCTCTCTCTCTCTCTCTCACATAATCTATCAAGGGTCTAACATGAGGTCATTGTGCCTACCAGAAGTGTATATGTCCAAGGCTGGCCACCTGTCTGGACCATTCAAATGTATAAACACGTAATTAGTCTATTAAAATTATATATAGTGCTACAATTATAAATTAATTTGTTCATGGTCATTCGTTTATCAGTATTTTAATATGAGGTATATATACGCATGTATGTATACGTTGACGTACACATATATGATTATGTGTATGGAATGATTATGATTATGTGTAATCATATATGATTATATCTAATGGAATGTATTAGTAAGTGATGTGGTGGAGGCTGACTCCATACACAGGTTCAAGTGTAGATATGATAGAGCCCAATAGGCTCAGAAACCTGTACACCTGTTGATTGATGGTTGAGAGGTGGAACTAAAGAGCCAGAGCTCAACCCCAGCAAGCACAATTAGGCGAGTATATGAACGAATGCACATGTACACTTTCAAATGAATTAAGATACCTTGAGATACACAATGACTTAGTTTAAAAAGTTTAAACACATTATGGTACTGATTTTGACATGCTGATGTCTGGAAGGGAGAGGGGGTGTGGGGGGTTATTGTCTGAGGTGGAGGACCAGAGGAGGGGGTCAGTGGAAGGATGGTGGCTGGAGGGATGCCATTGTTCTAATGGTTATGAAAACAATTATTGATGGCAGGAATTCAGTGGGTGTGTACTTCACCCGCACCATCACCATACTGTGCCCTGCTACAACCCCCCCCCCCCAACTCCACCCATGCTGTGCGGGGCGTATTACACATTATGGGATAACCGACTGTCTGTCCATTCCTGTCTGCTCGTTATGCTGCCCTTCCTTTTGAAAATTGTCTGCTTTATCGACTTCCTTCAAGACCACACGTTAGCCTCGTATCACGCCCTCTTACCACTCTCAGGGAGCCGGCTCTTCTATACAATAGTTACCACTCAGTCCCCAAGGTGAAAGAGTGTCCGGGCATATGACTTGTTACGTGTACTTATTTGCGATTCGTTTGGGCTGTCACGTGTGGTGATTAGTGTTGGGTAAGGCTAGGCCAGGTCAGGTCAGACTAGGCCAGGTCAGACTAGGCTAGGTACGGCTAGGCCAGGTCAGGTCTGGCTAGGCCAGGTCAGGTCTGGCTAGGTCAGGTCTGGCTAGGTCAGGTCTGGCTAGGCCAGGTCAGGCCAGGTCAGGCCAGGCCAGGCTAGGCAGGGTGAGAGAAGTAAAGCGGCAGGTACTTACGTTTCCGAGAAAGTAGCGGCGGTAGTATATTGTTGATTTAGATTCGACGACAACCTGAAGCTAGTAGGTGGCGGCCTCATCGCTCTCGAACTTCTTGTTGTTGTAGGGGATACGAGGCACACCCAATATCCCCCTTACATTGATCACATCGCACACTAATATTTTTACTATTTCGGACACCAGATTTGTCTGTTTCGTATATGTATAATTGTTCAATATTAAAACCACAATAGAATGCTCTTAACAGTTACAATTGTCAACTTAACAGCCATATAGTTGGCAAGAACGCCGCCCGCCAGTGCAAATGTCTCAGACCCTGTTGGAATATAACCAGTCTGTCAATCGGGTCAACCCAAGTGTTGCGTTTCCATGCGTTTCCAAAAGGGTCGCCCTATACTCACAGGATGAGTATAGGGTACACAATAAACTACCACTCACATCATGGGTATGGGTTGCACAAGAAACTATCGCGCAGAGGATGAATATGGAGAGCAAAGTAAACAAAGATTCACACGATGAGAAAGGGTTGCGCAATGTCCTATGACTCACAGGATGAGTATTAGCTGCACAATAAACTACAGGTCACAGGATAAGTATGGGTTGCACAATAAATTACAGGTCACCGGATGGGTATGGGCTGCACAAACTACCGGTAACAGGATGAGTATGGGATGCACAATAAATTACGGGTCACAGGATGAGTATGGGTTGCACAAACTACTGGTAACAAGATGAGTATGGGGTGCACAATAAATTACCGCACAGAGGATGAGTATAGGGTGCACAAACTGGTTGGGTAAATGGAAATGGTTGGGTACATTTCCTTTCACCTAATGCGACTATTCATGTGTCCGGACACCGGCGATTGTGTGGTATTGACTATTTATTTAACCATAACTTTGCATTCATTTAATAATTATATTAAGATATGTTTTCCTTGAAATGTAGTTACATTATCGTCTACATGTCTTTATTCTGACATAAAGACCTATGGCGTTACTTTGCATATATGCAAAGTAATTATAAAATTGATTGGCTTGTGTGGAGGCCTTCACTCCCTGAGCGAGCCATCAAGTAACTATAAAAAGGCATATATCTTCACTTTCACTTCAGTTATATTTATGCCAAAGTATTAACATGCAGCTTATATTTATGTCTTTATGATGACATAGAAAACTTCGTTTATTACAATATCTAGATTAAATTAACATTGATCTTCGGAAGGTCATAGTTCCTATATCGGTAAGGAGAGCGTCGGCCATGAAGCCTTGTTTAAAGTATGAATATTTTTCCTCTCTAATAAGGTATAATCTCTGTGATGGATTCACAAAAACTATTTTATATCTGCCTTTCTGATAACATATACAAATATAATCTTTATTTGTGAATATTTGTTAATTAAGCAATATATCAGAGGGCGTGTAGGGTTCGGTGTTCAATGAACGAAAAGGACTGGATCACTGTGTACAGGAGGCTGATATGGCAGCAAACACTCTCCTGGCGACCATATTTCTTGGATAAGTCGCTCCATACAATTGTCGCTTGGACCATCGACTTCCTATGGCGTCACCTCTCACATATTTACGTCTCATTTCGTTATGAAATTAGATTATTTCAGAGTAAAAATAGGTTTGATCATGTTCTACGTGTAGCACCAACATTATAGTAAGTAAATATACTATATTTCTTCATTACTTACGTAATGCTAGGACGATTTGTGTAGTTTTGGGCCGATTTGGGCTGATTTGGGTAATTCTATGGACCGCCTTAAAGGACTCACTTGGCCGAGTCCGGATTCAGATTTACAGTCGGATTCTATGTCAACAATTTCTCCGAAACATCTGATGGCTATGTTGCATAATTTTATTATTATACTAACGTTACTGTCAACATTCAAATACATTTATATATTACTAGGTTTGATATTAATTTATAATCACTAAGCAGAAATATAATGAAAGGGAAGTGCTGAAAGAATATTCTCATTACCAATGTTAGGTTTAGCAAGTCCCTTCCATGTATTCAAACACGTCCACCTCACACCCTTACCAGTGTAGATCTTGACATATGTGCCGAGTTACGATGAAAAGATACAATATTACACAATTTCTCAAATATTGAAGGAAGAAATGCTGAATAAATCTTCAAGCTTTTGCTCGGGATGGCTGAAGGTAAGGTGCAGATAGAGATAACAAGAATGATTGATGTGTCATAGCATCATGATGCAATATGTGTCCGGGAGTCGGGCAACTATTGAGGGTTGCAGACCTTAATAAACTCAACAGGTAGCCTAGCAGACCTAAATAAATTCAACAGGCTTCCTGTCCCCAACAATGGGAAACTAGAAATAGAAAATGAGCTCTATAGAAAACTTGTGTATGATTTGACTGTTAGGATCTACCAAACCCAACCCAACTAACCTACTCTAATGTAATGTAATCCAGCCCAACAAAATATACTGAAATACTCTCCTTATCAATTAGAATACTAGCTTTGTTAAAATACCTGTATATGATTTGATTATACACCTGTAAGTTCACAGTGTAGTGAAAGTATCTGCCGGGAACGCTATGCATGCTAGTGGCTTTACAAGAATGTAAAATCATCATTGCTATGTACTTTCATAAACCCAATCTACCTTCTTGTATATATATAAATAAAACAACTAAATAAAATATATCTGCAGTTAGGACATAGATTATCGATACTAGAAAATAACATTGTCTAACCAAACTAAGTACAGGTAATCTTAATCTGATGCTGTGTATACATTTCAAATTTTTTGTATAATTTGTGACAGGAATCTATGCCAAGCAGAAAAGATCCCATAACCTTTCATGACTCACAGTGAGGTAGGTTCCAGAACCTCCATTCTGCACAGGCCCAAAGGTAGCACCCCAGTCAGTTCGTAGGTCATGCATCCTCCTAATCCATTGATTGTAGAAGGGAAGGAAACTCAAGGGGAAAGCACCAAGCCATTATGACTATATAGCACTTGGAAGGGGTCAGGATAAGGATTTGGGATGGGATGGTGGGAGGGTAGGAACGGTGCCCAACCCCTTGGATGGTCGGGTATTGAACGCCAACCTAGATGAAGCGAGACCGTCGCTCCACCGTCCAGCCCAAGTGGTTGGCATTGATTGTGAAACAGAATTTAACTTTGTAGCAGATTCTGGGCCAGATCTAACTTTTTGGGGCCCTAGGCCAAAACAGGTAAATGTGCTCCACCCTCTGGTCAGTGTGGGTATTCAAAGGCTAAACACATGCATGTAGCCAGCTCATATAACAATATATAATGATTAATTATTAAAGTTGTATTATGCATAGTTTTGTGAGGAATACATTGAGGTCATATATCTATACTTATATTATCTGATATTTGTCCATTTTTATGGTGCAAAAAAGTGCTGGTGGGCCCTAAGCCATGGCCTACTTGGCCTATTGAGTAATGCGGCTCCAAGCAATCAAAGTTCACATTTGCCAAATGGCAAATAACAAAGCCCATATTAGTGGGAAAAAGTATCATTTATATCCACCTTGTCCCAAGATTGAACCATGAGTCACTTAAATATGTATACAAGAGTCAAGTAATGCATTTATTGTTTGATGATTTTTTGTTTTTTTTTGTTTTAATGGGCCATTTTAAAAAATATACAACTCTTTTTGTAGGGAAACTTGAAAATCATGTGGAGTATGATCTCTTGCCTTACTTAATGAGTGTGTGTACTGTATATATTGGATACTAGCCAACTAGGCACCATGTTATTTTTATACTGTATAAATTAAGATAACATAAGCTGTATTGTACAAATAAAGGCACTGATAATTATTTTCCCATATCCGAGAATTGCAGTACAGTATAATGCAGAATTATTCACCAGCTCACAGTGAAAAATCTTGTAAAACCAATGCTGTCTGTCTAATGATTACCTACTTACTGCTAGGTGAACAGGTGCATTAGGTGATAGGAAATACTCCTAACCATTTCTGTCCGACCCAAGATTCGAACCTGGAATTCTCAATTGTGAGTCGAGAACAAACCTGACTACTACTGGACAGTCCGTCCTCATAAACAAAGGCCAAAATTGATTCCATGCACCCACCAAACCCTGTTTATGAATGAAAAACGGTTTACTCACGACTCGCAACTGATGACGTTCAAACATTTCCAGAACAGGTGCTTCGCTGACAACTTTTGTTCGAACTACAACTCTGTAAATGCTTCACTCACTTCAACTTAGGCATTTTTTGGTTTTACTTTTGAACAGGGCATGGGTTGGGCAATTTTTTAATTCATCAGGGAGTGAGTTCCAAAAACTGGGCCCTTTTATTTGCATGGAGTGTTTGCACAGATTTAGTCTGACTGAGGATATCAGAGGTATTTATTTCTGGTGTGGTGTTCATGGTTCTATTACATCTGTCAAGGAAAAGTTTCAGATCAAGATTAGCACTTAAGAACAAGGTTTTGTACATGTAGATAGCACATGAGAATGTGTGGAGTGAGAGTATGCTTGGCATGCTAAAGGTACTTAAATAGAGGAGCTGTGTGTTGTCTGAAGACAGAGTTTGTTATAGTTCTGATATCAGATTTTTGCTGAGTGATGATAGGCTTGAGGTAATTTGCAGTGGTTGAACCCCATGCACAGATACCATATGTTAGAGTGGAATAGATTAGTGCATAGTATAATGAGAGGAGGGCAGAGTCTAGGAACATAATATCTGATTTTAAAAAGAATACCGACAGTTTTTTATATTTTTTTGGCTATGTGTTATATGTGGGTGCTGAAGTTCAGTCTTTTGTCTATCAATAGGCCAAAGAACGTCCCCTCATTTTTATTGGTAATGTTTACATTGTCTATCTGAAGTTGAATCTGATTTGATGATTTACTACCAAATAAAATGTATTTTTTTCTATGTTTAGTGTAAGTTTGTTAGTTGACATCCACGAGTGGACTTTTTTTAAATTCATTGACAATATTATTTAGTGTGTGGCGGGTGGGGTCAGAATTGACAAAGTTAGTATCGTCTGCAAATAGTATAGGTTTAAGAATGTTAGAAACATTTGGCAAATCATTGATGTATGGATAATAATGACAGATACACATCATACAGTTACAGCCTAACACATTTGTCCTCAACCCACCGTTACCTAAGTGGTAACCTCTTAATAGTGTGTCCAACTCATTGGCAGTCTTGTTGGAGTAAAGCAGATGCCGAGAATATAAACCAACCCTCCATCAGGGTAGTGGCCTTTGTCAAGCTTTATGAGGTGTTTGTTCATCATGCTTGTGTTTGGCCCATTGAAAGGTAAGTTAATAATAGTTCAGGGACAAATATTTAATAATTGAAGATCTATAGTTTATCGAGACTATAGTTTTTTTTATTCTATTCGGCGGCAAAGTGGGTTACGTTACTTGCAAATCTAAATGTGGGTGTTATTTGCTTAGCTAAACTAACTAGAGAGTTCAGTTCCTGAAGCGATTATGTGCCTCTGTAAACCTTTACACCACCGCCCACGGGATGGGTATGGGGTGCATGATAAAGAAAGAAATTGAATTGTGGGAGTAAACAAGTCAAATAATAGCAAGTCGCCATTACCATCTCAACCGTTCCTATCCCGCGCCGGCTCGTGGAGTCATTGACCCTCGAGATCCACTCGTGTATTTTAATTTATTTTGCAACAAATACTTTCTAGACTGTGCTGTGCTTTGTATTAAAATACCGAAAAATCAAAACCCCATTTTCCAGTTAAAAAAAAATTGATACGCGCCTAAATACAAAATCCATATAATGAGGACGAGTTGGGCAGGGCAGAGAAAACATTAAACGCCAACTGGTTAACAAATGCCTTAACACACCTCTCTCTCACTAAGGTTTCTGCACTCACAATGCAGTAACAAACATGTATACAGCTACAGTATAAAAAGTGTATTCAAGAATATTCGGGTGAAAGTAAGATTAGGTTTGTAACCCTGCAAGGTCGAGGTTCCTTCTACCAACAAAAAATGGGGCAAGATTTTGCTCGCAGTGTTTGTTATAAGTGAACTCTCCCTATTTGCGGACAGACTCCTTCTGAGCAATAAGTTACCTAGAACCTTCTAGCACATTAGAGAAGAATTACTGATACGGTCAGATATATGCACCATGTGAAATTAAGTTCCAAATTCAGCTGAAAAATCCGCAGGAAATAATGGTTAGTTGTATCCAAAAACTTCCCCCAGAGTTAAGCCTATGACGTCACTAAAATAAAGGAAAACCTTTGAAAAGCCGTCGGCTTCCTGTCCCTGTTAAGGCCACTAGAGATGGTGACCCCCTCATATAATTCTAGTAAATTTACACGAGGAAATTTATCTTTGAGGAAATTTGAACATACCTCAAAGCAAATATGTCCTTTTAAAGGCCTCCAAGCTTGGACAGGCGCTCCGTTCAGTTGAATAACCACTTTCTTTTCCCTGATGTCAAGGTTCGTTTAGCCATTTTTAATATTTGGTTTGCTTTTTTTTATTGCAGCACCCACTTGCTGTGCAACTTTCAGTGGCTGGTGGATAAATGTCGAAGGTGCTGACGGAGGGGTACCTTAATTCTCGAATCTTGGTGAATATATACTAATAAAACTTATTAGTTTTGTCAGGGACTGGATAGTCTTCTCATCGCATTTTTAGTAATTTTCAAGAGGCTGTCCGTGTCCACCTCATCAATTCTCAGTATTATGTATGTTGTAATCATGTTCCCTCTGTTTCATCTCTCTTGAAGGGTTGTGAGGTCAAGTTCTCTTAACCTATTCTTATAGTTCAGCCCTCTTAGCTCTGGCACTAATCTTCTTGTGAACTTTTATACTTTTCAGTTTTGATTTGATGTATCACACAGTGCGGATTCCAGTCCGGTGCTGCATATTCCAATATTGGTCTAACAAAGACTGAAGATTTTATTTTGATGTTTGCCAGCGTTCAATATAGATAGTGGTGGTTGTGAGAGGTGGGATTATATCCAGTCCCAAATACTTTTGTTTTCCTTTCTGACTCCTGGAAGATGTAGATATTCCCTGGTCTCCTTTCTCCCGTTGAGGTGGCAGGCCCGACCCTTGCGGGACACCGCTTGTTGCCTTCCTCAAACTTCAGACCTCGCCTCACTGTATATCCTCCTTCAGGTACTCCTTGACCTAGTACACTGT